AAGCCTTAACTCAATAAGTAAACTTTCAATTCACCGTTCATGTTCCATTTGGAATCCAGCATTAAAATATATATTCTTATGCTGAGATCTTAAGTTTAGATGATATACACTGTAAGAGCATAGTACACACACACTGAATATGAGGATATCCTGCCCTACTATTTCCTCTATTAGAAAACCCAGTAGAGGTTGGAATCCAGCATTAAAATATATATTCTTATGCTGAGATCTTAAATTTAGATGATATACACTGTAAGAGCATAGTACACACACCGAATATGAGAATATCCTGCCCTACTATTTCCTCAATTAGAAAACCCAGTAGAGTATGACAATGTCCAAAAGCATCTTCAGAATACAGTGATCCTCCCTACCTCAGAAAACGCCTCTCAATCTCCTTGGTCTCCTTGATTCAAGAAAAGCAATCTGCCTGCGGACAGATGGTCAAACTGTTGTTCATTTCAGGGTGTGTTGACATTCAGTGATGTGGCTGTGGACTTCACACAGGAGGAGACAGAGAGCCTAGATCCTGCTCAGAGGGCTTTGTGAAGAGAGCTGACTGTGGGGAATTACAGCTTTCTCATTTTTGTTGGTGAGAATTTTTTTTTTTTTACAGAATTTCTTACTTATACTCAAGAGTTCCTTGGGGAACTACTGCATGTGTATGTTAACTTTGAGTGTCACATCTCATAAATCGAACTTCTCAGAGGAGAAAAGAACACTGTAATGTAATTTTGTCTGTTTTCATGTTTGTCCCAGTGGGAGTGCTTATGCTTTTTTCGTTTTTATTCCATGATAAATTCAGAAACTTTTTTTTTTTTTTTTCCGGTCTTTTTGAGACAGGGTGTCCCTGTAGCAGCAGCTGGCCTCAAACTCATTATGTAAACCAGGCTGGCCTCAAACTCACAGAGATCCACCCACCTCTGCCTCCTGAGTGCTGGAACTAAAGGTGTGTGCCATCATGCCCAGCAATTCAGAAACTTTACAGCATGTAACATTGTCACCCCAATCATAAAGTTCCATTTCCAACCTGGAGCTTTGGCTGAGCTGTAATTAGAAATGGAACACTAATTCTGCAAATTGAAAAAGCTATGTAAATGTTTTGAGTGTTTTGACAGACTATTCCAATTGGGGAATCATTGGTAGAATTCCCTGTTGTGTTCTCTCTTTATCTATTGAGCACACTACTGTGTTAGAAATCCAGGTCCTTTCTAAAGACTCAAATCATGAACCACCCAGCATAGGCATACAAAGTTGCTAAAGCACTTGGTGTCTTGTGCATTAAGCTGTGACTACCTGAGGTGCTGGGGGTGATGGTGATGTCCTGAAACAATAAAGAGGCAGGTGGTCCTGAGGGACACACTCCTGCATACTTTGTTAGTGTGGAAAAAGATTATCTCAATTATTAGAAATTACATTTTTGAGACATGGAGTCAGACATCCATCAAAATGGAAAATTACAGAATGTTTTCCCCTTTTTAATATTAAAAGGTTACAAAATATTAATTTTGATAAAAAATGTTTCATGGCCGGGTGTGGTGGCCCATGCCTCTAATCCCAGCACTTGGGAGGCAGAGGCAGGCGCATCTTGCCAGCCTGGTTTACATAGTGAGTTCCAGGACAGCTGGGGCTATAGGGAGACCCTGCCTCAAAAGGACCTTTTAAAAAAAAGTTTCATTATTTTTGTGTTGAGTGTACTACTTGCATGTATGTATATGCACCCATGCTGTGCAATGTATACTGAGGTCAGAAGCGCATATCAGTTCCCCTGTAATCATACTTACAGAGGGTTGTCAGCTCCAATGTGGTGCTGGGAATCGAGCCCGAGCAGGCATTGCTCTTAACCTCTGAACCATCTACCCAGCCCCTTAATATTAGTTTTTGACAAAGAAGGACTATATGTATTTAGTAGGTGCAATATGATGTTTTGTTCTCTATGTACATTTTTGAAATTGACTAACACAATTACTACTTTATGAATTTTAATATTAAAATATATACTGGAAGAAATGTCGCAAAGTAATTTTTTTTTTTTTTTGGCTTTTTGTCTTTTTGTCCTTGTAGCCCCAGCTGTCTTGGAACTCACTATGTAGACCAGGATGGCCTCAAACTTGAAAAGATCCACCTGCCTCTGCCTCCTGAGTGCTGGGATTAAAGGTGTGTGCCACCACAATGTAATTTTAAAGACTGAAACTTCCTTATAAGCCTGTTTATAATAAAGTGAGTGCTCCTTTAGTATTGCCATGGAATTTCAAGGCTGTGAGAGTCTGAATTTCAACCAAAGTCCTCCCAGTTCATCAGAACAGACACATTTACTATCTCAGTTAAATACATGATAAGCCAGAGTTTAAAAAGTTTCTGTTCTACTTTCTTTGAAATTCAGATGCACAACCTAAATGTCCCTCGAATATGAATGGATCATGTAAATTTGGTACATTTACACATGGAGTTGTACTCAGTGGTAAAGGAAAGGAAATCAAAGAATTTTCAAGTAACTGGTTGGAACTAGAAGTTGCTGGACTGTGAGTTAAAGCAGAAGCCAAAAAGCAAGGCACAGGTGTTCTCTCTCCAGTGTGGCTGCTACCACCAAATCCTGCATATGTACACAAAGGAGATGAATTCAGTATGAGATATGTACGCTCCCTAATTATGGCAGCACTGTTTGAACAGTAGGCAATCTACTTAAATGCCCATTAACAAATAAAACATTTGGTGACATGTGCTATTTCTAAAGAATACACAATTCCATCATAGGAAAGAGGGGAATCTTCTCGTACTTGAGAGCAGGATTGATCTGATGGGCACTGAATCAGGCAAAGAAAGTTGAAACACAATCACTACATGATTTCAGTCAAGCGAGAAATCCAAAACAAAAAAGATGTTGAAGGTACAATAGCAGTTTGCAGTGAATGGGGAGAATGTGGGGTAAATAACAGACACAGTGTCATGTCTTCACGGCTTAACTAAGTTCTACTGTTCTATGCCACAACGAGGTGAATAAGTTCTCCAGCTTGCATTTTCTACCTTAAAATTATTAAAAAGATCAATTTGGATGCACTCACCGTAGGAAAGGATAAATTTTTAATTTAATGACTAAATCAGTCTCCAACGTACATGCCTAACAAAATATCAGGGATACCTCATAAGTATGTAAAATATTTCATCACACAATAAAGATTGCATTTCTATCAAAAGTTATTTATTTCATGTGTAAGAGCATTGTGCCTGCATGTATGTAAGTGCAGCCATGTGAGCCGTGTCTGTGGAGGCGGGAAGACAGTGTGGGAACCCCTGGAACAGGTATTAAGTACACTTGTTGGCATCATGTGGGTGCTGCAAACTGAGCTCAGGTCCTCTGCAAGAGCAGCCAGTACTCTTGACCTCTGAGCCATCTCTCCAGCCCCAAGAATAGACTTTTAAAACTCACAATGAACTACTTCTGAACTTTAGCCTTTAAAAGAAAAACTCTCCCTTGTGCCTCCCCGACAGATTCTTACTGTGAAGGTAAGTAGAAGCATCAGTGCTGTTCAGTAAACAGTCACAGGCAGCAGACAGTGAGGCTGGCGGTCAGCTGCCAGTGCTTCTGGAAGAAAGCTTAGCGTAGCCTCTATTCCAAAGGACGAAAGCCCTGTTACTCCGCCTTGTTTAGGTAAGGAGGTGAGGCGGCTACAATCCCATGATGTAGTAGGAATTCTTGATCTTGTTGGCAGGGTGGATGCTCGAAGGCAGGAGACCAAAAACTTCTATGGGATCTCCATGTTGAGCTCTTTCTTCCTGTGTTTCTACTGTGACTGCAGACAATGACAACAGCCTGCTTTGTTTTCTGAGGCGCTTCTTCCTCTTGTTATGTTGTTGACAGGTGAAGTGGATTTTCAGTGAACTGAAAGGAAATTTCTCAAAAGAGCAGGAGAGAGATGGCTTCTTTTCAGGTAAATACATCCAAGGGCCTGAACCACGTATACTTTATTACTGAAAATTCTTACCGATTTAGGCTGGGTTTAAGCATGCCTTTAATCCGAACATTTAGAAGGCTAGTAGCAGGGGGATCTTCATGAGTTCGAGGCCAGCCTGGTCTACAGAGTGAGTTCCAGGCTAGCTGAAGCTACAGGGAGACCTAGTCTCAAAAAGACTTTATATATATTTGCCATATTAGACTTGTAAACTTTTCTGGCTGGAGTACTTGCTATGTAGACCAGTCTGGCCTGGACCTCACACTGATCAGCATGCCTCTGCCATTGGAGTCTTGGGAGTAAAGACTTGTGCCACCATGTCCTTCCTACATCAACTCTTTTCGTACGTATCACCTATGTGGCATGTCCACCTCTTCATTTTGTCCTCCAGTGCTTGTTTTTTCAGACTAATCCAATGAATTCATGACCAACCATCTCAAAAATGTTTTTGATGTGATAGATGAAAATTCACACGTCAGTCTTCAGTTCCTAAGGAGGCTAAACTTGGATCCTCATATGCCACTGTATTGGTGTTTGAAATACACATAAATCTGATATTTTTGCTTTATTTTATTTTGGTATTGTATTACTTTGTTTATCATTTTAATCCGACTCACATGACTGGCCTGATGGTATGTACGCTGGGTTTGTTGACACCTGTTTTCTTTTGTGTCCTGAGAGCTGATTCCCTTGGTTGCACTGCTCTGAACCAAATTCCAGACTTGGACATTGTTGTAATTGATTAGGAATAGTTTTATGGTAATTTACAGAATGAAGCACGGGAATGAAGGCATTTAATGCAGAATCTCTCCTTTCATCACTGTAGTTCTCTTCCTTCCATTGGAGAAAGAAACCTTTCTCACTTATTTGCTAAATCCTGAGTTTCCAGGTGGAGATTCTGAAGCAGGCCTCTTTCTCTCTGTGGGTATTTCTACTTCACACTCAATCACAGCACGGCCTCCATGACTGGTTCTTTGAACCTCAGAAAGGTGCTCCATTTATCAAATGTTAGACACGTGTGGTTGTCTGATTTTGGAGGCATTTGTGTAAGCAGCATCAACATTGTTCAGTCAGTGTTGGATCTTGTCTTTGTGTTTTCATTACTCTCTGTGGTGAGCAGTTTCCAGATCCTGTTATTGTGGTGTGCATAAGTCAGCCAGTGTGTTCCTTCTTGATAAACTTTAAGTAAGTAAATGAAAATAAAAAGAGAAACTAATGTAAAAAGATTCTGTTATAATATTTTATGTTCTAATGTTTCTATAATGTCTTCATTGCATGCAGGTTCTAGGACCCACTTCACAAGATTGTGTCTGTTCTTGCCGTTGAGGGAGAGCACACTGTCCACGGCACTCTTCATTTAAACTCCTCCTTTATTCTTCTGCCATGATCTGCTCTGTGCTCCTGGAGAATATGTCCTTTGTACCTGGGTCATTGGCCTCACTGCAAAGCCTATTAGGAGAGGGTTAAGTCAGGCTCAGTCACCAATTGTGTTAAGTCAAAATCTATTTTTTTTGCTAGGACTACAGTGCATCATTATAAACATTCTAGTTTATGAACCAGACTTATAAATCAGCATGACTTTACATCAGATAAATATGTGCAACTGATCTTGTATGCTACAAATACAGGAGGGAAATGGTATTCCTATATTGAGGGCTTAATTTTTGTGCTACACTCCCTAAAACGAAAATCTCCACAAAAATTTAGAGAGTCTGATGCTGTTCTTTTTTGCACAGAGTTAGCGAGTAGATTACAGATAGTTACTACATTAAGAAATATCCTTTTATCCTAGCTGGTGTCACATGTGTTTAATCCCAACACTCAGGAGGCAGAGGCACTCCAATCTCTGAGTTGAAGGCCAGTTCGATCTACATAGTGAGTTCCAGGACTGCTGAGGCTACAGGGAGGCCCAGTTCCAGGAAGACCAAAAAATAAAATAAAAAAAGAAAAGAAAGAAAGAAATATCCGTTTAAATAATTTAGATTGTTCCTCAGAACTTCGTTACTAATTATCTCTTTTTTTCCTTGGATCCAGTACCCTGCTCATGGGTACATGGTCAAGTTGTCATTTTTCATTTTAGGATCCTTTGACTTTCACGGATGTGTCCTTTGACTTCTCCCAGGAGGAGTGGGAATGCCTAGACTCTGCTCAGAGGGCTTTGTACAGGGAGGTGATGTTGGAGAACTACAGCAATCTGCTGTCCATAGGTGAGGAGATTTTTCTTTGAGAAATTTTTACTGTTCTACATCCTTTGACAAATAGCAGTGTACTTTGTACATATGTTAGTTTTGCTAAGTCTTGGATTCTTGCATAATTAGTGCATTAGGAATATCTGGGCATCAACAGAATGTTTGTGTATCATTTCCTTCCATTTGCAGTTGTTAGAAATATTACCCATCTTCATTATTTTTGGTGTTAATTTCAGTCACCCATTAGTACATGATACTGTAGCCAGAATCTCAAAGTTCCATTTCCATAACTGCATTTTGAATCAGTGATAGAACTCAGCATATGAAAACTGAGAAAATTCCTGAGTATCTAATGAGTCTGTCCTAAAAGAATAATTGAGAAATTATTTGGAGAGTCCTCTCTTTTTGCCACTGTGTTAGAAGCCTGGCACTTTCTAGAGAGTCCAGCAAGCGTCATGTGCCTCTTTCTCATACACAGGTCTTGCTGTGTGTAAGCCTGTTCTGGTCTCCTGTCTGGAGCAAAGCAAAGAGCCCTGGAATGTGAAGAGAGGGGAGACTACAGCCAACCAGGTAGGTGTGAGTGGATGAAGGAGGGGCCTAGGTGAGAGGTCTTAAGTAAAGAGGAATAAAGACCTAAACATGGTTTGCCATAGTCTGTTTCACTGCAAAGAGATTCTGATAGTTTAATTTATGGCAGTTTCATCAAGATTTGTCCTGTTGTAATTGTCAAATGACTTTATTGCACATGCAATTACTAGTATGCAAACATCACTTCATTTAGTTTTTATTTAATTTTTCCATATCTCCATGTCTAATTTCTTACCAGTGCAAGATAATGGCTGATTTTTTCTCTTATGACACTTTTTCAATATATATTTTTTTACTGAAATTTTGTGCATTTCATTAAAAAAATTAATCATGTTTACCCCCCCACCCCACCTGCACTCCCTATACCCCCTATACGTTTACCCTCCACCCCACCTGCACTCCCTATACAATGTTCATGCATTGTATTTTATATAGTAATGCCTATTAAGTGGAGTTTTTCATGTATTTTAAAATTAGTAAATTTTGTGTCTTTCGTTTCTGCCCTCAAAGTGTTTGTGCCCTTCTGATTCCTTGTGATTTCCACTGTTTTAAAATCAATGCATTTTTTCCAAAAATGACTGTAAGCTGTTGATGAGACTCATAATATTTGCTTAGCATGAAGTTCTAGTCTCTTCCTATTTTAGATATAAATGTGTCTAACAAGTGTAACTTTCACACGGCATTTGTGGATTCCTCTGTTTTCTTCCTACTGTTGATGTCTGTGTCCCAGATTGGGGAGAAGAGAGATGGAGAAATCCTGACCTTGTATAATATTTGAGACTTGTTCTATTGCCCAGTCCATCCTGAGAGTGTTCTCTGAGTGTGGGAAGCTGCACGTCCTCCTGTTGTGCGTGAGTCAGTCTAGGCTTCTTTGGGATGATGCTTTCTCATGCTGCTCACATGCTCCTTGTGTCAACCACTGACTCATCTCTCCAGCTCCCTTCTGACTCTCTTTATGGTGCTGAGTCAATCAGTCCTGTCACTCCGTCACTCTGTATGTGATGTCTAATGATGACATCCAAAATATTCCATTCTTTCCTCATATTCACCCTGTAGGGAAATAGTGTTTGCAGAAGGGAACAAAGCCCATGTTTGTTCAAATGTATTCAACCATTTCAAGCACTCAAATGGACTAGTAAAGTCACAGGATTTTCTTTTAATTGAACAGTTCGTTTTTCTTTTAACTTAAGATCTCTATATTGTTTATAGTTCTCTTTTAGAAAATATTCCATATTTTTAATTATACAGATAATAATTTTACCAACCAATGAGTTCAGTGAGAGTAGCTGTTAAGACTAGAAATTGACAACTCTGGTGGTGCATTTCTTTATTCCCAGTACTAGGGAGGCAGAGGCACGTGAATCTCTGTGAGACTGAGACCAGTGTGGTCTACTTACAAAGATCATTCTAGGCCACTTGGGACTATAGAGAGAGGCTGTAGGATAAAAAAGAGAAGAAAAAGCCTGGGAATGCACAGGACATTGCAAGAGTCCCACATCTCTCTTCCCACTCAACAATGGCCCATCTCTTGGGTGTCCATCGTTCAGCACACCTTGGAAAGTTTTTCACTCTACATCATTTCATGTTTCATTCCTGTAAGGATTTTTGGAATTATTATAGGTATATTTTTTTAATTTACCATTAAAATATTTTTAAACACCATATTTTATCTCATCCTCCACTTCTGGATGACTCAATGTATTCACTGGTTTTCTTTTAAAAATATAACTTTTATGTATTATTTAAAAATTTTAGGCATGTGAACAGTTTATCTTTTCACCATATAGGAAATATTCTATTCATGTGCTTAGTATCCTGTGGGTTCAATTTTTTTCTTTTTTATTGAATCAAAAAAATTTGTATAGAATATATTGATCATATTTAGAAACTCTCCCCTATCTGCACCACCTTTACTATTCATACCTAACTTCATATTCTCACTCTCTCTCTCCCTCTATTTCTCTCTCTGTATATGTATATACGTGTTCACTGGAATGTGGTTAAGGTATGAAGAATCGCATCCTTGAAAGAGACTCCTTCTCCCCCTCCGAGTAGCCTGTGTTGGCCAATACTTCCTCAAGTAGGGTTGGGGTTTCTTACCCACTTTCCATGTCTATGTTGGGAGCTTCTCTGTCTTGAGCTTATGTGGGACTTGTGCATGCTGTGACCGTTGGTGTGAGTTCATATGAGTAACTTCCCAGCTGTCTGTAAATCTCTTATTTCCTTGTGTTATTCCATCATCTCTGGCTCTGTCAATATTTCTATCTGCTCTTCTGCAGTGACCCCTGAGGCTTAGGAGACAGAATTTTGATGTATGTGTCCTACTCAGGGATAGGTACTAGCCAGTCTAATTATCTGCAAATCCACCAGTTGTGGGTCTTTGTGTGAATCACTGAGTGCTTTATTTGGAAGCCTCACTAGAGAGATGTGTTCATCTATTGGTATAGCAATAAGTCATTGGCAGCCCATTTAATACTATGTATATCTAGTTGAATAATGGTATTAGGCTCTCTCCTATGACTCCTAAGCCTGATATCAATGTCAGATATGGGTTCCACCTTATGAAGGAGACCTTAAATCCAATTAGAATGTGGCTGGTTACTCCCATAGTATTAGTGTCTCTGTTGCACCAAAGCACATATTGTTCCAGGCCAGTTGCTGTAGCTCACAGAATTTGCAGCTGGGTAAGGTTGATGATTGATTTTCTCTTGTCGTAGCATACAAAGCGCCTTCCAGCGCAATGAAGGCAGACAGTAGAGATGAAGCTTTGAAGTCAGTACCAGCTTGATTCCTATATAGATTTTTTTTTTCTTCTATACATCATGAGTGTCTTCAGTAGCAGGATATTATCAATTTCTGGTGGTAACAGAGGGCTAGTGTCAAGAATATACAACAAATTCAAAATATTAAATATCAAAAAATATACAACCCAATTTAAAATGGGGCCAGGTCCTGGACAGAAAGTTCGCCAAGAATGAAATGCAAATGCTAATAGCTTCTTTAAAAATGTTTTATGTCAGTGGTCATAAAGGAAATCCAAACTAAAACTGTTTTGAGGAGCTGGAGAAATGGCTCAGCAGTTAAGAGCACTGACTGTTCTTGCAGAAGACCCAGGTTTGATTTCCAGCACCCACATGGCAGCTAACAAGTGTCCCTAACTCCAGTTCCAGGGGATCTGACACCCTCTTCTGATCTCCATGGTCATTGCAGGACACGAGTGCACTTACACACATGCAGGCAATACACTCATACACATAAAATAAAAATAATAAATAAAACGCTAGGCATGGTGGTCTTTAATCCCAGCACTCCGGAGGCAGAGGCAGGTGGATCTCTTGTGAGTTCGAGGCCAGCCTGGTCTACACAGTTAGTTTCAGGCCAGCTGGGGCTGTAGGGAGACCCTGTCTCAAAAAGACCAAAATAAATAAATAAATAAACAAACAAACAAACATTTTGAGATTTCTTATTTCCCTACTCATCATGGTTAACATCAAAGAACAAACAACAGACAAACGTTTTCAAGGATGCGCGAAAAGGTGCCTCTTTTCCACCTTTCATCAGAACGCGGACTGATGCAGCCAAAGTGGACATCAGTGTGATTTTCCTCAAAAAAGGTGGAAGTCAATCTTCCATATAACCCAGCCGTACCGCTCTTGTACGTGTACCCCAAAACTCTGCATTCAACAGAGTTATCTGTTCTTCCGTGTTCATCGCTGCCCTTTGTGTAACCCTAATTTTCTCCTACTTAGGAATATATAATGACAGCTTGGGATGTTTACACATGGGATGTCATTCAGCTCTTATGAAAAACAAAAGTGTGAAATTCACAGGCAGCTGGTTAGAAGGGGAAACAATCTTCCTGAGTGAGGTATCCCAGACCTAGAAAGAAACATGTTGCATTTTCTCTTTTATAGGTGACTGGTAGCTTTGAATTCCTAGGTGTGCATGTTTCAACTGGAAAATAGAGAGCTCAGAAAATGAATAAATGGCCATGGAGTGGTCTGCGGGTTTCATAGGAAGTGAAACAGAATGCACTGATATACAGGAGGAAGGGGAATAATAGCATAGGAAGGGTTCAATGGGGATGTGGAAGAGGAGGGCAGGACAGAGGAGGGAGTAGTCAGAGGGTTAACGAAACCATTATAGAAGCTTCTTAATGTATATTCACAGACATTTTTTATTGAGCTTTTTAAATTTCATACATTTCCCACTCAACTCTAGACCCCCTCCCCCATCCATGCCTCCCCCTATCCCCCTACCGAAACCTTTGCACTCTGCCATACATGCTGAGTCCTATTCATTCAGGTGTTTGTACCAAATTGTCCTTCAGTGTAAATGTGTCCATTGGAGTCTAGTAGTCTATCCAGTGGTCATATGTAAATCATACTCTCCCTCACCCAGCACCAATCAGTCCCAAATAGTTCTCAATCTAGTGCCTACCTGCCACCAATTTCTCACCTCCTGTTTAGGCCCTTGTTTCATTGAGCTGACATGGGTTCCGTGCTGATGCCTCCACTGCCACAGGCTCACATGAGCAAGCTTCCAGTGACTTGCATGCCTCCACCTCCCTGTGTTCATGAATCAGCTCTGGCTCTTAGAATCTTTATGCCTCCTCTTTCCCAATGGTCCCTGAGCTGTGGGTGGGTGAGGTTCCATATAGGAGTCCCATCCTATCCTACAGTTTTTTTATTCTCTAAAACTGCCAGTTGTGGCCTTCTGTGTGCATCGCACTCTGATATACAAGGAAGCCTTACTGGTGAGAGTTGAGAGGTGTATTAGCCCTTCTTTTGCTATGTTCCATGAGTCTTAGTTGTACAGATTTGACTGCAGATGTGTCTCCTAGTACTGGACGTCTCCAAGACGTATGTTCTGTGTGCCTGACCAGATGTACAACTCTGCAGTAGCCTCCATCTGTTGCAAAAAAAAAGCTTCTTTGATGAGTGCTGTATGGCATGCTTGTCACTCCAAAGGAGGCCTCTTCT